GCCACTTTACAATATTTCTCATTTTAACACATTAGTCTTCTCCCCCTTAAACAATTTCCCACCTATCTTGCAATTCTTGTCCTAGTACCTGTCATCTTAGTGGCACCACATGGAACATTTTACTAAAATACAGACAAGTAAGATTTACAGCATTGCTCCTAACAGCTAAACCTTGTTCCTAGAGCAGATACAATTAAACAGCACCACACGTTACTATTAATCATTAGGGGTTAGTATCACCCACAGGAACAAGCTCCTTGTGACTACTGAGGTGGGGACACTTGAACGCCCTGACTTGCTGAGATTATAATCATTCATTTTGCAGGCTGGGTGGTACAGATGACCTACCTACGCAGCAGCAGGCACTCAGCTAGAAAAGCCCATTAATGACCAGGGCACCAGATGTTGCCCAAGCTGATGCTGCAACCCTCCGCTTCCCACAATTCTGAATGTACCCGCAGTTCATGCAAAAATTAAAATGATCTTTCAGCAGGTTTAATGGCTTCCAGCCCAGATACTAAAGGCAAAGGATGTCCAAACAACTAACCTAAGGCAGTTACTAATAATGATGAAGGTCTGAACCCAAAGAAATGGGATTTGTTTTCTGTTTTCATAAGAAAAAGAAAGACTTTACATAGTGAAAGCTGATACACCTAGTAGCAACCCAAGCTCTTCAGGAGGTCTGAAGTAATGGCACATTGTTTCCAAAGGTGTAGCCAGATTTCTAAATGATTGCTCTGCAGTACCAAAGATGAAAACATTCTTGAGCAAAGCCACAGATATTGGCATGAGTGCTAATACAGTGCACTCTGACGAAGAGAGCTCCACCTTGAGATTCGCAACATGCCTTCACGCACCTTGCTTCAGCTGACACAGAGGATGCATAGCACTTTTGCCCTCAGAGATGTGAGGTCTTGAGGGAAAAAAAAAACAGGTACCTTAAACTAGTGGTCCAAACAAAGTTCATCTTGGGTATGAAATGCAAGCAAAGGTAACTAAGTATGTATTTTGTCTGTTGTCCCAAGAAGTAACAAATTCATGTAGAAGGGAACAGGCTGTTTGTAGATTCAAGGGTGTCCTCACAAGGGATGAAAATACTGACTTCAGACAACTCTGCAGCACTGACTTCCCAAGAAACATAATCTTATTAGGACTAAACAAGAAGGATATCCCATGACAACACTGAAGACGATAACTAATAGAAAATGATCCTGTGTGGATTTTGGAAAGTCTGACAATCTTGATTCCCTTCATCTTGAATGGCCTATAATAAAGGGATCTGGACCTGCATTAGCAGCTGAGATGGTACAAACATGAAGTCATGAGCCTAGTCCACTTAAATAAGAGCATCTAATGGAAGTATTTTCAGTAAGGGCAACAGCAGGATCTCCCCAGAGATGGCTGGAGTACTCTGACAGTAGTGGGATATGGTATCCTAAGAGAAACAGATCTGGCAGAAAAGCACTGGTAGTATGAAAACAGATGCCAAAATGGTTTTAAAAAGGCATGAGCAATCAGGGTCATACATAATCTTTCCATCTTTCCACTTGAATTGCTCAAACCACAGCAGGTTATGTCCTTCATTTTCGTGTTTCATGGAATCAGGAAGGTGCCCAATAAGGAACCTCTGGGCACTTCCTTTCCAAAACAAAAGCAAAGTGACTTCAGAGTATGTCCAGACCTTGAAAGGGGCCTTAAAGATCTCCTTTACAATCTCTCACCTTGATGTTAACATGATTGTTCTTAGATCAGAAGATAGGCTGTGGCAGGGCAATCTGATGCATGCCTGACATACCAAGCCCAACTTCAGTTAACTTTCCAACACATGAAATTACCGTAAAATGTAATCTTGCAATATATGGACAGAGATTAACTAAGTATCATAATTTTTAACCTAAAATGCTGTTAAGTATACATCACTATGTCCAACCATATTAAAGTAAGTCCCAAACTTGCATTTCCAATCACATTTGAAAGAGAACCACAAGACAGACTTCTACTTAAGCTAGGACCCAGCTAGCTGACAGATGAACATGTTCTGACTCTCTATGTTCAAAATAGCTCATCCTCCTACTGAAGTACTACAAAGGACCTGTAAAGCACTACCTCTCCTCTCTCCAGAACCAGAAGAAAATTCTGTGTTTTGAACAGGGTCCCTGAGGTCCCCAAGGAATGGGCAAGGTAAGAGAGGGGACTAGAGCATAGTAAAGTGGAACTCTCTGAGCCCCCATGTCTTCATCAGTGTTTTGATGTTTTTAAAGATTCTCAGAAGCATGTTAGGCTTTTTCTGAAGGGGGAAGCAACGTAATGAAGACCAACAAGAAGCCACAGAAGACAATTTTTTCTATGAAGACAATAGAAACAAAGAAGAGAAAAGGGTAAAGAGAATAGCTCTCAATGCATGTATAAAGATGCTAAGAAATTCGAAGAGGACTGAAGAAGCTAGGAAAGCTGACAGCCTGGGTTTGCTGCAACCTCTCTTTCTCCTACAGTCAGGAAACTGCTGCACAGAACTGAGTGAGAAAAGAATAACCCGTCAAAAGGTGCGATGTGAAGGAGCTAAATGTTTCTAAGGATGTGTTGGATTGAAAGAGTCCTCAATGGCTCAAGTTCCCAGCTCTATCACCAGTTAAGATTCAGCCCCTTGAAAGGCAGATCCAAGCATCAGTCTCTTCCTTTGACAGCCCTGTGCCAAACAATTGTGCAATATCGCATAAAGTTAGATTAGTTGTTAACATCCAAGCAGACTAATCTGTTGCAGCTGCACTCACCTGGGCAGATTCCTTGCATGAAACTGAACTCTAACAACACGCAAGAAAAACTTTTCTAGAGCAGGATCTCTCCAACGTCCTCCATATTCTGCACAATCTTACTAGGACATACTTGCCCAAAATGCATGTTATTTCCACGCTTCACCCAAGGGCAGTCTAGTGAATAAACCTGTTTTCAGTGAAAACTGGTATTTTGCTGCACATTTAGCTTGCTCCATCCTCCTCTAGGATTGGAAACTACTTCCTTTCCCTTTCCCTCTTCTGCTTTTATTGTTTCCTCCTCCAACAGCAAACACTAGTAAGAAAGACGTGAAAGTGTTAAAGAGGGTCATCTCCAATCCCTCTTTTGAGACTTGGAGCTTGTAGTACACGCTCCTGCCAGCTGGTCTTGTGCCGGCTGCACAATAAACTCTTCCAATTTACAGAACTTCTCTAGCAGAATCCCATCATTCCCAGCTACTTTCCAGATGTATTCAAGAGAGACCCTAAAATCATCTACCTGGACAGGAGATACACCAGGTTCTCAACGGATTCAAGAAGGCTTCTCTGACTTGCAGTAATCCCTCCCAGCCAAGCGCTGCCATGAGGAATAAACCCAGCAGGCTGTACAGCACATGCTGTCTCTTGTCACATCCCTCTGCTGCACTTTGCAAGAAACCAGGCAAACCGTACAGGTGGCCACAGAGAGCAGGGAGGCCAGTTGAGTGTGCAGATGCCAGTGCAGGTAAGACCTGGTGGCTGTGACAACACAAGAACACAGCATCACTCAAAATCCACTATGTCTCCTAAGACCGAGGTTACCAGGGATTTATATACGTGAAACTCTTGACGCACTGAATTCCTACTGTGTATGTAGATGAAAATTCATAACTTACGTGGATTTGCTGTACCATTAACCATGAAATTTGCATCTTTTTTTTTTGAGTGAATTAGGATGACATTTACAAAGTACAAATTTAAAAAAAAAAAAAATTGCCTACCAAGTCAATTCCAGGCAGTATGTGATTGATCACTAGACAAAGAAGAAAACCTGTCATGGGTGATGCTGAGCACGCTTTAACTTCAAATTGCTCCTTCAGGGGACTAGTCTAGGCACACTAGCCAGCTGGGCCAGGAGTCAACGGTTGTGTGAATATTTACTGTAATTAACTATACATAGAGGCAAACTTAACTACAGAGCTGGCCATACACATGCAAATTTCCATGACATGTATGAGACTTACTAGTGCTGCTGAAGTGTTTGGCACACATACCTTGGGAGAACGTGTCAGCATTAAGAGAACCTACTGTATCCTGGGTGACTGGAGAAGTTGACAAATTTCTATAACAAGTTTTTGAATACACAGTACATACTGCTGAGTTTAAGAACAGCTTACACTTAAGCTGTCTTAAGCCTTATAGAATCAGTTTTCCACTTTCAGAGCCACTTGTCAACAGTTGTTAAATCATCAATATTATTCCCTTTTTATTGTTTGAGAAATCAACTGACATGCTGCAGCTCCTCTTTTAGCTTCCCTCTGAGAGCAGGTGTCCAAAGTACTCAGTGTCATTGCCTAGACAAGGATTGGTATGGGGCTTTCATTTTGGCGTGTAGTTACAGCCAATGCTCAAACACATAAAAGAGACAAAAAAACTTCAAGGAAATATGTTTTGATATGCTGAAAATGTTCCTTTTTAAAATGAAGACAATCATTATCAATAAAATTTATTTATGGACTTTCATTCAATCTTTAATTGCTTCAGGTGCTTTAGAAACAAAACAAAATGATCAATTTATTGCCACATAAAGTGAAGCACAGAAATTTCCAGCAACATACCTAACACCCAGGGAGCAAAAATACTAGGAAAGGAATGTAATACTCTAGTCACTGACTCCACTACCTTTACCGTGTATGCAAGCTATTTTATATCCTTTTTACACTGAACTAGGCCCAGAAAGGGAAGGGTGAGGAGGAGGGAGAAAATCCATCAGAGTGTCAGAATGCAAGTTGGGGAAATAAAATATAGCTACGTGACCCATGTTAGGTATTTCTGGACTGTTTCTCACCATAACATAGGGTTTATGGATCTAAACACAATAGAAATTTGGATGGAATGATACACAACTTTTCACTATTACAAACAGTGGAAAGAAGAGTTAGTGGTATAGAGAATTTGTCTGTTTTCCCCTCCTCATATAGACATTTTAAGAATCTAATAAGAGCAGTAGTAGCATAGATATAAAGTCACCTGCATGAGCTGAAAGCGGTGAATGAGGCCGAGGCAGAGCTGAAGATTGGCCATTGCCCATCAAACTCTTCCTGTTGCTTGTTCTACAGCTGTGGGCAAAAAGAGAAGTCGTTAGCATCAGAAATACAGCAGGTACCACATGTGGGCATTTAAAGATTCTGACACTTTGTTCCTTCACTTCCCAATCTTCTATTAAAAATCAGAGCTATTGCTGTTTGTGTAGGCATGTCCAACAAGTCTATGATCATACTAGATAATGGCAAAGACATCAGTTTCCAAAGAAAATGCACCATGGATACTTCATAGGCTTGCACGTTTACTGTTCTCTGCAAAGACCAGCATTCCCCTGTAGAGTCATTTACAAAATGCTCTTCCCTGACTGCAGCTTGTTTCTCTTCCATACACTTTTAATAATATATAAAAATACACAAGCATAATGTGAAAAACAGTCTCAAGCTTAAAATCACCATTCAATGATTAAACCTATTTTTGTTGCATGAACTGTAGCTCCAAATCACATGTCACGAAAAGCAATGATTTATCAATCTGAGAATGATACAATAATTATAAATGTAATTATTGAGATAAATTTCACATCTGTGCCTTTTGTCAATGGAACAGATGATGCCTAAGAAGATGAATGCATTTTTTTACTCATACATTTTTCATCTCCAAAGCCACTAATTTCCCATATCACAAGATCATTAGGCGAGATAAATAGTAAATTAACACATCTATTAAACCTGAGAAAGAAGCTATTTTTCTTAAATACATCATACAGCTTTTAAATACTTATTGGCAGAAATGTTTTTCTTTTTTCCTCTTTCTACTATAATGAATAGTCTCACAAACATAAATCCCCAACACTGCAAACATTCATGCATAAGGAAAATAGTATCTTGAAGTCAAAGAGACCGTAACTGTGTATAAACTTAAGTGCGTACGCTAATGTTTAGAGCACTGCAAACAGGTATTTTTTTTAAAAGGTTTAGAAAAATTTAAAACAACTAGAAGGGGAAAAATTAATTCATAAAACCATTTCATTAACACAATAGGTTTTGTGAAGCAGCAGCAGTGCCACTCCCAGCTGTTTGATGAGGTAAATACAGAGTTAATTTGCATGAATAGCACAATGAATTGCCATATGACTTTATTATTATCATCAATTAAACAACGAGTTAACTCATTAATATATAGTTATCATTACTGCAGATCTATGTAAGAAAAAAAAGCAAAAAATGATTGCAGGATTCACATTTAGAGAACTGGAAAGTCAAAACTTATTTAAGACATACACTGCAGTTTCTAAGCTGAACAAACAGGGAGAATTTTAAAATGTGAAATTATATACATGTGTTTTTAGGAATCTGTCTAGATTAAGCTCAGCCTTCCACAACTATTTTTAACACACTCAGCACTTAAGCTACTTTTTAAATATTAGAACTTGTGCAAATATTCCATGTTTCATTAGACAACAATTTCCAACTTGCATTTTTTCCCACCATCTTTAATTTTTGTCTAGCTGAACAGTCATATTCAATTCTTCTTTGATCTGAGAATGGTCCAAATCCTTCCTTTTGGCTTCATGCAGTGTCACTGTATTTTTGCTGACTTTATTCATACTATGACAAGTGTCACTTTACTTGCTATGCTTATTTTTAAAAGCTTGAATAACTGTTCCTTTGCAATTCTCCAATCTAAAAGGGAACCCAGTAGAATCTTCTGGTATTCATTAGACACTAATTAAAGGACATACAGATTGCATCTATCCATGATGATGGGGAGACCTTATTGCAGACCTTCCAGTACTTAAAGGGCGCTTATAAGAAAGATGGGGACAGACTGTTTAGCAGGGCCTGTAGCAATACAAGGGGTAATGGTTTTAAACTAAAAGATGGCAGATTTCAACGAGATATAAGGAAGAAATTTTTCACTCTGAGGGTGGTGAAACATTGGCACAGGTTGCCCAGAGAGGTGGTAGATGCCTCATCACTACGAACATTCCAGGTCAGGTTGGACAGGGCTCTGAGCAACCTGATCTAGTTGAAGTGTCCCTGCTCACTGTAGGGGGGTTGGACTTCATGATCTCTAGAGGTTCCTTCCAACGCGAACTATTCTATGATTCGCTGGTATCACTAAAGCATCTCTGGTGTAGGTTGGGGTTAAAAGACCCCATTACGTGACTTTAAAGCAGCTTTGAATGGCTAAAGTTTGTGATCTAAAGGATCACCACATCTCCTGGCACAAGGAAGGAATACTTCTTAAGTACCTAATCCCTGGATATGTTCTCAGCAAAACAAGTATTACTTTCAACACATTCCAGGGACCCTTCACTGGAATCTTTGCTACAAAGATGATAAACCTGGTACAGGTTTATCAGTATCATTTGCCTTTATCTGTAGAAATTCAGTGTTTCATCACTTTTGCCAGAATTTCCTACATAAATAAATAAACTGCCTTGTATTCAGTTCTACATTAAAATTCAAACTTCACATTCTTCACATAAGTTTGTGAAACACCTTTCACAAAGCATTATCAAAGATATTTAATTCAAGTTTTCTTGATATTTTGGGGAGTTATTTTTACGAATAATTTTCTGTGAGTATGATGGCATTACCTTCAATATCAAGATCTTATATAATGAGAAAACTTCCCCTCAACTGTCATTTCAAAAAATTCTTTGCTATTTGCTTAGACGTGGCTGCAGCTGGAGGGAGAATTTATCTTCTATCACACTCAAATGAAATGCTCTATTGACAAATAGAAAATAAAAAGTATGAAGTCTCCTCTATTTGTCTTACCAGTAAGGTGAGATGGAAATCACTGCATGAAAGGAAAAATCCATCCTAGAGCTCTCACTGTAGCTTTGTTTTTTGTTCTGTTCCACAAAGATTTTGAAACAATATTATCCATCCTGTATAATCTGTGAAACACAAGTCCTTCCCCAGAATAATGCTATTACAGAAGAGGCTCTTTGTGGGTGAGGAAAAAAAAAAAAAGTCTTCAGGGAACCTTGAAAGATGATCTAAGCCTCTAAAACACCGCAAATGGGAAGCAGGGTCACACTAAGGAAGTATCAAAGCATTACTTATTAAGCCATATTTAGCCTTGAAACAGCAATCTTGCGTACACAAAAGAATCTCAGAAGTTAAAGCCATTCTGCAGACAAAATCGTTTTTCCTAGATCTCTGAACACATCAAGTAACTTTCCCCTTCTATTGTCTCATAAAGCTATTCTTCTCCCATTCAAACCTGACAAGATAAACCAACCGATAAGAGGCAGCCCTGAAAGAAAATCTTTGTCTCCAGGAAAGTTATAGCAGTGCAGGAAGAGTCTACAGGGATTGTAACTGAGGGAAACAAAAACTTTGGAAAACCACCAGAGTGCTACACCCTCAATACGCAATTCTCTAAGCCCTGGATTTCATGTTGTGAACAGGTTGTGTGGCACAGAGAAGAGACTAGCAAGCCAGGCAGCAGACACTACGTAGGGTTTAGGGCACTGAAAACAATAAGAAAGACAGACGTCTCTTTCCAAGGAGAAGAGGAGAGTAGGAGAGAAAAAAGAAAAAAAAAATCAGTCATATTCAGCAATAATTAAACTTTGGAGTGCACAAGCAGAATAGGAAGTTTACATTTTTTGCCCTTTGTCGTCTTCTCTGCCCCAGAAAGATCCTTCCTGGACTTTAGTTTGTTACCCACCACTTAAGTGGCAGTCCTGGATGACTACCAGTCTGGAAGTAGTTGGTATTACACCACATCAGCAGTGCCCTGGACTACTGGCACTGTTGCTTATCTTGGAATCCAATTCGCAATTTCCTATTCAGTTTCCAAATACCCCCCCAGACAGGTTCTGCCTTACCTCCTGCTCTCCACCACTGATGCTCCTGCCCACTCACACCTCTCCTCCTATGCTGACCTCTCACTATGTCTCACTGCTGCAAAATTCCTCCTTCATTCCAGCTCCCGTATCAGACCCGACACACTAACCTCTGAGTCACTTCTCCAGCTGCTACAGATGATCAACACTTCCCATGAGAAGTACTCATGATAAAACAAAGTGAAGGTACTACAGAAGAAGTGCTTTGTGCTCAACTTTATTAATCACAAAGCAAGGGTGAACAACAGCCACTGAAAGATGCAATCCAGTTGCATGAAGCTTGATTACCTTGCTCCTTAAATAGCCACAATTCTTCACATTATCAGGCAAAAGCCATTTAGGCGCAGATGATAGGAACTGCTGCACTGAAACCAGCAAGCAGAAAGCAAAAATACTCGTATGGACATTAAAATAGAGCTACAAACTGAGTCGGGGCAACCCCCAGTATCAATGCAGGCTGGGGGGCTGAAGGGATTGAGAGCAGCCCTGTGCAGAAGGACTCGGGGGTACTCCTGGATGAAAAGTGGGACATGAGCTGGCAATGTGCGCTCGCAGCCCATAAGGCCAACTGTATCCTGGGCTGCATCCAAGAAAGTGTGGCCAGCAGGTCGAGGGAGGGGATTCTGCCCCTTGACTCCACTGTGCTGAGACCCCACCTGGAGACCTGTGTCCAGCTCTGGAGCCCTCAGCACAGGAAAGTCATGGACCTGTTGGAGAGGGTCCAGAGAAGGCCACAGAAATTATCAGAGGGATGGAACAGCTCTCCTACAAAGACAGGCTGAGAGAGTTGGGGTTCTTCAGCCTGGAGAAGAGAAGGCTCTGGGGAGACCTTACTGCAGCCTTCTAGTCCTTAAAGGGGGCTTATAAGAAAGATGGGGACAGACTGTTTAGGAGGGCCTATTGTGATAGGACAGTGGCAATCATTTTAAACTAAGAGAGGGTAGATTCAGACTATTGATAAGGCGACACTTTTCACCATGAGGGTGGAAAACCGCTGGCACAGGTTGCCCAGAGAGGTGTAGATGCCCCATCCCTGAACACATTCCAGGTCAGGTTGGATGGGGCTCTGAGCAACCTGATCTAGTTGAAGATGTCCCTGCTCATTGCAGGGAGAGTTGGACTAGATGGCCTTTGAAGGTCCCTTCCAACCCAAAGTATTCTATGATTCTATGAAATAGGAA